CTCTGCTGCAAACGAGCATCATTGGACGTCTTCGAGTTCCGCGCAGCGATGACCATTACGACCGGCTGGTTCTCCGGGTTCACCGACGAGGTGCTCGCCAGTCGGTACAAGAAGATGTCGGGGAGCGTGATCTCGCGGATGCTTGCACCGCGCAGGAGGCTGTGGTGGGAGAGAAGCGTGAGCACCTTGATGAGCAGAAACCTCCACAGTGTCTGCGAAGGACCCGTTCCACGCGGGTTCCACGCCTTCGCCGCCCACGTCGGCAGCACCCTCATCATGATTTGCCGAAACTGTTCGGCGGTGTAGGTATCGCCGAGGGTTCCTCGACGCCGATCGGCGCAATTCCTGCCCACAAAGCCAAGGGTAAGGGTCATTCCGGGCGGCGTCGACATCAGAGTGTGGACGACATAGGTTGAACCCGCACTTACTTGATGTCCCGCTCGTTCTTGGTGCGGATCATGAACCGCACCTCCGACCTGACCACCGATATCTCCCGCATGATGCTCAGCTCCGTCTCCCGGTAGAGCGTCGCCTCCACTCTCGCCGCCATCTGGCATGCCTTTATGCGCCCGAGGAGCGTGTGCACCGTTGTGGAGTGCACAGGCTGGGCTCGCGGGGCGTTGTCCCCATCCTCGGTGGACTCGGCATCGAGCTTACACTCACGCACCATGTACTTCACGTACGCGCGAAGCCGGGTGATGGTAACCCTTGGGCCGTGCAGCCACACGTACGCCCGGGGGACATCGGCCTCCTGGTCCCAATTCTTCTTCTTGTTGTCCCGGATGTAGTGGCCTATCTCGTCGACGTGCTTAAGCCTGTGCTCCTGGGGAAGTTTGCCGCCTATCTGCCTCAACATCTTCGCCGCCCACCTCTTGTAGTGGTATATCCAGGAGGTGTACTGCCTCAGCGTGCTGTTCTTCTCCAGGGTTTGTAGGTGGCGTAGTGCGTCCATGACGAGCACGTCGATGCACGCGTACACCATGTCTTCCTCGACGAAGTCTGCCGCCTTCCACTGTTCGCGCGGCACCGACATGTTCTCCTGGTCCGCGTCCTCGTCCTCTTCGAACAGTTCATCTATGAATTCAAGCTCCCGCCTGAGTCGTTCGTCCAAGGTGCGCGGATTAGTGCTACGGGGTGGACGCTCGTCGTATTCGTCATCGCTTTCCTCCTCCTCCTCCTCCTCCTCCTCCTCCTCGGCATCTACTTGGTCTCCAGAGCCGGCATGTGCCGACGACGTTCCTGGCTGTCCATTTCGTGCAGGCTGCTGTTTTTTTTTTCTTGTTGAACTCTCCGATCGGCGGTGGGAGAATGTCCTTGGTGAACTCTCCTTCCGGAATCTGCGTTAGCTTGTCAAGATCGTAGAGTAACGGGAGCGTCTCTTCGTCGGTAGATGTAGGATTGTGGTCGGTGGGGGGACTAGCGTCGGGCATGTCGACGTCGGCCATGTCGGCCATGATTGCGCTATCGTCGTCCGTGTGCGATGCGGAGGTTGTTAAACCAGAGACGGAACTGTGTCACGGGAGCGAAATAACGGTCTTCTTCGAATTCTCGCTCAATCGCGTCTAACTCGGCTTCGACCTCAAGACGTTCCAGCTCCGCTTTGATGTCGTCGTCTACTGAGTCGGCGGGGGGTGGGATGGACTGGGGCTGTTGGGCTCTAGGACGACCTCTGGCCATGCGTCGCCGACTTGCTAGGTCGGCCAAGATGTCGATAGTTTGCGGCGATGTTGCCCTGGCACGTCCAATGTCGACGTCGACAAGTACTGACCTCTCGTTTTCCTAAACACCGACCTGATTGTTAGCGACCACGTACAAGCAACCTGTGCCGACGGGATCGATTAGTCGGCAGCCGACAAGCCTACAATCGCGAAGAAAGACAGGCAGCGGAGAGCATGGAGGAAAGCAGGAACTGACAAGGGAATGAGCACAATCGGAGGGTCACGAAGGAGTACGGTCCCGAACGTCTCCGAAGCGGCCGCGCTTCACGCAACCCCCCATGCTGCTGCCGCTATGCATGCGTTCTCCTGCGGCGGCGCAGTGTCCGACGTGTCACGTGCCAAGCATGGCTCCTGGGACGCCGCGCTGAACCCAAGGGGCGTAAGCCTGGGCCATTCCACGAGGGAATGGGCGTGTGTGACGTGGCGTGGGCCCGACATTGGCGCCCCAGAGCGGAAAAAACGGCATGCCGACTACCATCTCCCAGGGGCCCTGGATTACTGCGGGGCCGCGTGGCAACCCTACCGCAATCGCCTGGTGATCGGCGCCGACTACCCGTCGGCGCGCTTATTTGTGTGGTTAGGTTCATTGAACGTGGACACTGTTGTGACTGTGCCGCGTAGCTCTGTTGTGGACCGTTGGATGACTTGGTCGACACCGACCAGACTTGACGGTCCGATCTGCGCCGCGTGGATCGAGCACCGACAATTTTGGCGGGAGGGTCGCCTTCTCGGGCGAAACACTGTTGTGACTGTGCCGCGTGGCTCTGGTGTGGACCGTTGGATGCCTTGGTCGACACCGACCAGACTTGACGGTCCGATCTGCGCCGCGTGGATCGAGCACCGACAATTTTGGCGGGAGCGTCGACTTCCCGCGCGAAACACTGCAGTGACTGTGCCGCGTGGCTCTGTTGTGGACCGTTGGATGACTTGGTCGACACCGACCAAACTTGACGGTCCGATCTGCGCCGCGTGGATCGAGCACCGACAATTTTGGCGGGAGCGTCGACTTCCCGCGCGAAAGACTCACCGCCGGAGCGACGCGTGGCCACGACGTGAGCGTCGTGGCAGTCTTATCATCGTGGGGGACCTCCTGGCTCGTCCCTATTGGGCCGCGTGGCAGCAGTCGGGTCTCGACGTGTCGAGCTTTCCTATTTTGTCCGCTGAGATTTCCTTCTCAGGAATCTCCCAGCGGAAACGTAGGTCGTCGGATCGTCGACATTCCCGAGGGCTCCCGTGGCCCCTGGGACGCCAGTTCGGCCCAGTTTGCCGCTCGGAGGTCGTCGGGAGGTCGTCAATCCCTTGGGGGCCCTTTGTCCTATCGAAACCGCGAAACTGGGCGGCAGTTTTCGTCCACTGAGGAAGAGCTCAGCGGAATCAGGTCGACAAGCCTGTCGACCTGTGTCGACCTGTCGACCTGCTGCCCCGGGCAGCAAAAAAAAACTAAACCCCCATCGGATGGCATGCCATCCGAGGGAGCCTCAACCCTAAACACCATGCCTCCCCGCGTTTAGGGTTGAGGCTCCCTGACCGGATGCATGCCCGTCTGGGGTTTATTTTTTTTGCCCGCGGGCAGCGAGCTCCCCCGGGCGGACTCGCTTGTCCGCTGAGCTATTTTCGGCGGTATATTATGCCGAGGTTCTCGCGTCAGTGAGTTCGGCGTACATTTTTGCTCCGAGCCACTCTCCGAGTCCCCACCGCACATTTCGCCACCTTTCCGAGCCTTGTGTGCCCTGATATTCTCGCCTCGATTTTGCGCTTTTCTTACCTCGTTATTCGCCCATTCATTACTATCTGCTTCTTTCTACCCTCGCCTTTGTGATATACTTTCTCATAAAAAGGCACATCAACTTCCCAGCTAGCACCTCTTTAGTAAGCACCTCGCTGACACTGCGGTTGTTGGCTGTGGTGGTTCTGTTTCTGAGTGTGACATTAGCGGGGGGGATGAAATGAATGGTACTGAAATGACCGGTAAAAGGGGAGTTGAGATGAACTGTCAGGATGAACATATGGCTGACGTCAACGGCTTAGATGCAGCTGAGACAAGGAAAGAGGAGATAGAACCTGATCGTAAAGACGCTGGCGAAATTGACCCAGGTAACACTGGCGAAACAGGTCCTAGGAACGCTGGCGAAATGGACCCTAGTAACACTGGCGAACCTGACCCGGGTAGCATTGCAGTGCTGAAATCAGTTGACGAAAGCGTCAGGACGGCGGGCGAGGCTGAAACGAAAGGGGATGGCGAAACTAAGGACGACGAAACTAGGGACGACGGGAGAATCGAGGCAGGAGGAAAGGAAGCAGAAAGAGGTAAGAGGGAGCCATTGGGAAGACGCGGAGACGAGACGGAAGCTGGGCAAGAGGTTTGGCGCGAGGAGCGGCAGGGCGAAGGCCTTCCCAGAAGAAACGCTCGGGTTGAAGGTGAAGAGGAAGGGAAGCAGCGGCAGGAGAAAGACAACTCAAGAGAACCTCAAGAGATGCAGGACGAAGGCACTCGTAGAAGAGACGCTGGGGTTGGAGGACAAGAGCAAGGGAAGCAGCGGCAGGAAGGAGAGCAGCGGCAGGAAGGAGAGCATCAGGAGAAAGACAGAAAGCAGGAGCGAGAGCAGGAGGAGCAGGGGGAGCAGGAGGGGCAGGAGGAGGAGGTGGTGGAGAAGGAGGACGATGAGGAGAAGGAGGAAGAGGAAGGGAAGCCGCAGCAGAGACGGCAGAAGCAGCATCGAGTGGGCGGTAGGGAGAGCGGTAGTAAGGGCGATAGGGAGGGGGAGCGGGAGGGCGGAGTGAAGCGGGGGCTGCGGTCAGTGATGGCAGGTCGCTTCCAACACTACTCCGCGCTCAAGAGCAAGCGCCGTCGACGGCTTGAGCAGAGGAGCTTCCAGGAATTCTTCCTTGCGGGGGCGGAGGGGGAGGGGGCGGGGGCGGGGGAAGGGGAAGGGGAAGGGGAAGGGGAAGGGGAAGGGGAAGGGGAAGGGGAGGGATGCGGCCGGGGTGGGTGGGGGAGAAGGGGATGAGGAATTGATGGAAGATGGGGAGGAGGATGGAGGGAAGGAAGGGGAAGGGGAGGAGGATGAGGAAGGTGTGGGTGTGGGGGAGGATGAAGGGGATGGGGACGGGGGGAGTGAGAGTGATGGGGTGGAGGAGGTAGAGCAGGAGGAGGGAGAGGGAGAGGAGGGCGAAGGGGAGGAGGAGAAGGAGGAGGAGGAGATGAAAGAAAGCGGGGCGCTAGAAGGAGAGAGGAAAGAGGAAGGGGACGAGGAAGGGCGGTTGGCAGAAGAGAGGGACGGGATGGCTGAGGAGGTAGCTGATAAGGGTTTGGAAACGGCAGAGAGTGGAGTGGATAAGCTACGAGGTTCTGGGAAAGCTGTGGTGGGAAAGAGGGAGGAGAAAAGGCGAGAGAGGGAAGGGAGGCCGCAGCCTGTGGTGGAGGAGGAGAAAGGCAAAATGAAAGGCGAGGGGCAGAGGACGCTGAGAAGGAGAGAGCAACCGAAACGAACCCAGCAGAGCAAGCAACCGCAGCAGCAGCAACAGCAGCAGCAACAGCAGCAGCAGAGGCGGCAGGGGAAGAAGCTGACGGGTAAAGCCAAGCAGGCAGCAGCGGCGAAAGCAAAGGCGGGGCGAGCAGCAGCAGCGAAGGCAAAGCGGGAGGCGGAGAGGCAGGAGGAGCACGACGCAGAGGTGGCACGGGCTGTGGGGTTCCCTCCGGATGGCCTGAGGGAGGACGAGGAGGAGGCGGGTGTGGTGCGCAGTGGCACGGGGGGCAGTGGGGAGGAGGGCGTGTATGTGCGCATGAGAAACCGTATCTTGGCGCTGTGGAGGCGGAATGTGAACGGGTGGATACAGGAGGACAAGGTAGGGAAGGAGAGAAAGGAAGAGGTACGAGTGAGAGCGGGTGGATACACGAGTGCAAGGTAAGTCGAGAGAAAGGTGGGGATGGGGGAGTGGCAAGGAACGTGAGGGAGCGTGTGTATGTGCCCATTCCCCCCATCCCCCAAACCCTCATCTCCCTCTTTCCCCCCTCATCTCCAGCTACTTAGCACCATGCCAGCACACGAGCGAGAGGCAGCGAGAGCAGCTTTCTCCTTCCTGCAATTGCGCGGATTCATCATCAACTGGGGCCCGTCACTCTCTCTTGCGTACCCCCCCATCCACACCCCACCCTCCCCCCCATATCCCGCGTCTCCAGCTACTAAGTAGCACACCGGCACACGAGCGAGAGCCCACAAGAGCAGCCTTCACCTTTCTGCACCTGCGTGGCTTCATCAACTGGGGCCTCTCGCGCACGGCCACGGCCGCCATCCCTCGCCGCCCCTCCCTGCCCCACGTCATTGTCCTTGGCGCTGGACTTGCAGGCCTGGCTGCAGCGCGCCAACTACTAGCCCTGGGCCACCGGTGAGTGCTGCGGCGCACTTGAGTGCGGTTTTGAGGTGCTTAAACTAACATCAACTGGGGCCTCTCTCGCACGGCCGCCAGCCACTGCCGCCATTCCTCGCCCACTGTAAAAGCTCGCAATCGGCACGCTTATAGTGGATGATAGGGTGACAGTACAGTGTTCGAGGCACGCAACCGCCCTCATATCCCGATCTCTCCTCTCCTCTCCTACCTTCTCTTCCCTGTCTGCTGCCTGTTCTGTCTACCGCCTGAACTGTTGCCCACCAGGGTGACAGTGATAGAGGCTCGCAACCGTCCCGGAGGGCGAATGCACTCCAAGCTGCTCTCCTCGCCTCCAGGCCCCAACCAGGTGCGGCAGTAGGTGGTGACATGTGGTGACATGTGGTGACATGTGGTGAAATGTGGTGATATTCGATTTCTGAGGTGCCTCGGAACACTCCAAGCTGCTCTCCTCGCCTCCAGGCCCCAACCAGGTGGAGTGGTAGGTGGTGGTGCAGGTGGCATTTGTGGCAGGTGGCATGTGGTGCAGGTGGCATGTGGTGCAGGTGGCAGGTGGTGCAGGTGGCAGGTGGTGCAGGTGGCATGTGGTGCAGGTGGCATGTGGTGCAGGTGGCATGTGGTGCAGGTGGCATGTGGTGCAGGTGGCATGTGGTGCAGGCATCCTCAGCTGGGCGTCTTGGCTCGCCAGCTCGCCAGCTCTCTATCCCTCTGCACCGCATCCATTACCCCCCAACGCCCCCTTCTTCTCCCCTGCTCTTCCCCCAGGTGGCAGTAGCAGCAGGGCTTGGCTGGTCGATTGTAACAGGCATTCTCAGCTGAACTGGGCGGGTCAATCGTCAAAGGCATCCTAGCCTCCCTCTGGGCGTCCTAGCTCGCCAGCTCGCCATCTTTTTGCACCGCATTGATAACTCCCCCTCTATGCCCCTTTTTGGCCCCTTCCAGGTGGCAGTAGCAGCAGAGCTAGGCGGTTCTATTGTGACAGGCATCCTCGGCAACCCTCTGGGTGTCTTGGCTCGTCAGCTCGCCATCCCTCTGCACCGCATTCGCGACGCCTGCCCGCTCTACCGCCCTGACGGGCTGCCCGTGAACGAAAAAGCCGACCGGGTGGCAGAGGCAAGGTTCAACGTGATGCTGGATCTAGCTTCTGAGAGAAGAGCTGAAATGGAAGGCGTAGCAGATCAGATCTCCCTTGGGAACACCATGGAGTTTGTCTGGCAGCAAGCGGTGCAGGTTGTATCTGAGGAAGGTGGAGCGACCGCAGGAGCAACAACAGCAGTAGCAGCAGCAGCAGGAGCAACAGCAGCAGCAGCAGCAGCAGCAGCAGCAGGAGTAGCAACAGCAGCAGCCGCAGCTGCAGGAGCAGCGACAGGATCAGCAGCAGCAGCACAACCAGCCAGAGTGCAAGAAACAGAAGAGGAACAACAGCTGGTGCAGTGGCACTACGCGAACCTCGAGTTTGCCAACGCCGCCCGAGTAGCGGACCTCTCTCTGGCCTTCTGGGACCAGGACGACCCCCACGAGCTGCTCGGCCACCACTGCTTCGTGGCGGGCGGCAACGGGCAGCTTGTAGATGCCCTTGCGGACGGGCTGCCCGTGGTGTACAACTGTGCGGTGGAGAGGGTTGAGTATGGGATAGGGAGGGGTCGGGAAGGGGACGAGCCGGTGCCAGCAGAGGCCGGAGGAGGGGGAGGAGCAGGAGCAGGAAGAGAGGGAGAAGGAGTCGGAGAGGAAGTGGGAAGGGAGGGGAGAGTGGCAGCAGGGGGAGTGAGGGTGGTGTGTAGGGATACGAGGAGTGGGGAGGAGGTGGAGTATGAGGGGGAGCATGTGCTCTGCACGCTGCCTCTGGGCGTGCTGCAGAGAGGGTCCGTGTCCTTCCACCCGCCTCTCCCTCTCAGGAAGACTCGCGCCATCCACAGGCTGGGCTTTGGTCTTTTGAATAAGGTCGCGCTGGTGTGGTTTGCTGTGGTATGCTCTGGTGTGTGTGTGTGTGTTTGCTGTGGTGTGTTTGCTGTGGAGATTACAATATGAGGCGCTGTGCTGCAGAGAGGGTCTGTGTCTGTTCACCCGCCCCTGCCTCTCAGGAAGACACGTGCCATCCATAGGCTGAGACCCGTGCCATCCATAGGCTGGGACCCGTGCCATCCATAGGCTGGGACCCGTGCCATCCATAGGCTGGGACCCGTGCCATCCATAGGCTGGGTTTTGGGTTGTTGAATAAGTCGGGTCGGGTCGGGGGGGTATGGTGTGGTGAGTTGTGGTGTGGTGTGGTGTGGTGTGGTGTGGTGTGGTGTGGTGTGGTGTGGTGTGGTGTGGTGTGGTGTGGCGTGTTTGCATAAAGCCATACCTTTTATAAGGTACCTTTGGGCGTGCTACAGAGAGGGTCCGTGTCCTTCCACCCGCCGCTGCCTCTCAGGAAGACACGTGCCATTCATAGGCTGGGCTTCGGGCTCTTGAATGAGGTCAGGCTGGGGGTGTGGTGGGGTGTGGTGTGGTGTGATGTGGTGTGGTGGGGTGTGGTGTGGTGTGGTGTGGTGTGGTGGGGTGTGGTGTGTTTGTTTGAAGTCATTCCTGTTGATAGGTGTCTTTAGGTGTGCCCCTGCTGCCTCTCAGGAAGCTGCGCGCCATCTACAGGCTGTGATTTGGGCTGTTGAATAAGGTGGGGCTCGTGTGGTGTGGCATGGCATAGTGTGGTGTAGTGCGGTGTGGTGTGGCATAGTGTGATGTAGTGTGGTGTGGTGTGGCGTGGTTGCATGATGTCAGGCTCATCGCAATTTGCCACAGAGCTCTGGGAGGGCTTCAGAGTGGGCCCGTGCCTTTCCACCCGCCCCTTCCTCTCGCGAATAACCTCTTCTTTTCAGTTCCCTCCCCACACCTGCTCTCTCTCAATTCAACCCCTCCCCTTCCTCTCCTCTTACTATCTTACACTCACTCACAAAGTCACACGCACACTCTCTCACCTGATGCAGGTGGTTTCCCTTCTCATCACACTCACACACACACACACACTCCTCTCCTCCCCTTTTCAGGTAGCAATGCTCTTCCCGTACGTCTTCTGGGACACCACATCAGCACCTTTGACCACCTCGCCTGTTCATCACATTACAAAACACCTCTACTCTCCCCTCTCCTCTCCCCTCTCCTCTCCCCTCTCCCTCCCCTCTCCTCTCTCCTCTCCGCTTCCTTGTGTCAGGTAGCCATGCTCTTCCCATACGTCTTCTGAGACACCACAAGTTGACTTTTTGAGTTGACTCAAAAGTCAACTCACATTACAAACACCTCTCCTCTCCCCTTTCCTCTCTCCTCTCCGCTTCCTTGTTTCAGGTAGCCATGCTCTTCCCATACGTCTTCTGGGACACCACAATCGACACCTTCGGTCGCCTCACCTCACACCCCTCACAGCGCGGCGAGTTCTTCCTCTTCTACTCCTACGCTGCTGTCTCGGGCGGCGCGCTGCTCATGGCGCTCGTTGCAGGGGAGGCCGCGGAGAAGTTTGAAGGGGAGAAGTCGGATGCGCTCATGTGGCGCGTGCTCACAGTGCTCAAGAGTGAGTGGGCCCTGTTCCTCGATACCTTTTGGTTTCTTTTTCTTAAGGTTGGCTTGAGTACTTTGAAGGGGAGGAGTCGGATGCGCTCATGTGGCGCGTGCTCACAGTGCTCAAGAGTGAGTGGGCCCTGTTCCTCGATACCTTTTGGTTTCTTTTTCTTAAGGTTGGCTTGAGTACTTTGAAGGGGAGAAGTCGGATGCGCTCATGTGGCGCGTGCTCACAGTGCTCAAGAGTGAGTGGGCCCTGTTCCTCGATACCTTTTGGTTTCTTTTTCTTAAGGTTGGCTTGAGTACTTTGAAGGGGAGGAGTCGGATGCGCTCATGTGGCGCGTGCTCACAGTGCTCAAGAGTGAGTGGGCTGGGTTGCTTGTTTTTCGCTCTTTGGGGTTTCTTTTGGACTTGTGCCATTGGGGTACATTCCTAGCTCGTGTCAGACACGAAGTGGAGGTTTGGATGGAGGTTCGGAAGACTCGAAGTGGCCCACTTCGGGTCTTCCGAACATTGATTTGCCAGAGTTCCAGGTCACTTCGGGTCTTCCTCAACTTCACTTCGTGTCTGACCTCATGTCAGACACGAGCCAAGAATGTGCCATTACTCCCATGCTACTACCTCGTAAGTCGCGCTGCTCATGGCTCTCGTTGCGGGGGAGGCGGCTGAGAAGTTTGAAGGAGAGAAGTCGGATGCGCTCATGTGGCGCGTGCTCACTGTGCTCAAGAGTGAGTGGATTGTCCCTTGCTCACTTGTTTTCTCCTGCCATTGAGAGTTGAATCAATCGCTTTGAGGGGAAGAAGTCAGACACGCGCTGCTCAAGAGTTCGCAGAACAAGCCAAGTTGCTCGTTCACCTTCATTGGATTGGAACAAGTCTTTGAAAGGTTCGGATGCACCCTTGTTTTGCGGCATCAGGTCAGGGCACTACTTGGCTCAATGTATTTCCAACCTTCTTCTCACTTACCCCCTCATGTACTTGGCTTAATTCCCCCTCCCCCCTCACACCCCACCCCCCTCCTCATGTACTTGGCTTAATTCCCTCCCCCCTCACACCCCACCCCTTCCCCCACTCACTTCTCGCACCCCTCCCCGCTCCTTCCAACCAGAAACTCACGAGCCCAAGGGCATAGCAGTGCCACATAATCTGCAGTGTGTGTGCACCCGGTGGCGCAGTGTCCCGTACGCGGGGGGCTCGTATTCGTATGTGGGAATGGTGACCTGTACACTCTTCAATCAATTCAATGATCCACACACTATGCAGTCCCCCCCTGTACTTCCCCCCTCTCAGAGATCCACGAGCCCATAGGCATAGTCCTGCCTAACGTGTCTATGCAGCCATGCGATGCCACCGCAATGCATGCAGGCATAGACCCGTTACAATGTGTGTGCATGCGGTGGCGCAGCGACCCGTACGCACTTCTCACCCCACTCTCCCCCCCCTCCCTCCCCTCTCTCCCCTCCCCCCCCCCTCCCTCACGTCTCCCCACCCTGCAGAGATTCACGAGCCCAAGGGCATAGCAGTGCCGCATCCTCTGCAGTGTGTGTGCACGCGGTGGCGCAGCGACCCGTATGCGGGGGGCTCATACTCGTATGTGCGCGTGGCGGCATCGGGGGATGACTATGACACACTGGCTGAGAGTGTGGACGGGCGGCTGTTTTTCGCTGGAGAGGTGAGCGTGTGATGTTTTGCAGTGACTTGAAACTAGGTGCTTGATTGGGAGTGCCTTTGTGCGCGTGGCGGCATCGGGGGACGACTATGACACACTGGCTGAGAGCGTGGATGGGCGGCTGTTCTTTGCAGGCGAGGTGAGATGATGAGAGGGATTGGGGTGAGAGGGCATTGCATGGGAATAGTGTTTCCTGTGTGGCGGCATCAGGGGGAAGGGTCCTTACATCACACTGCCTGAGAGCCTGCAGTGTGAGGTCCTCACCCGAAAGTGTGTGTGGACCGGCGGTTGTTCTTTCCGGTGAGGGGCATGTGTGATGGCTTGCAGTTGAAGCTGTCGAAGTCGAACAGGTGGGCTGCGGAGGCCTTATTTCCATCAATCTCTTGTTGTTTAGGACAGAGAGACAAACCCCATGCGATGACGATGGTGAAAAAGAGGCTGGCGCTGCGCTAGCTTAGAACGTTTCTTAGAGAGCCAGTATGAATCAACTCGTCACTATAGAATCAGAACATTGTGTAAAACTAGGGGTTGTTCTTTACGGTGAGGGGCATGTGTGAGGGCTTGCAGTTGAATGTGGTGAGGTTGCTGTGGCATTGCGGTACATTGCGGTGCAGTGCGGCACAAGGGATTGGTGTTTTGAGATGGCTCGAAACTAGGTGCGCCCTCACACTCGTACCCGAATGTAAGTGCTTTTCTGTCACCTGGTGGCACTGCCCGCTTAGCACACTCACTTTTGCAGACGCCTCACCTTAGACATTCACCTTTGCAGACGCCCTCACACTCGTACTCGAACTTACTCTCTCTTCATCTCCCCTTCAGGCCACGAGTCGCCACTACCCCGCCACCATGCATGGTGCCTGTTTCAGCGGCCTCAGAGAAGCAGCCAAGATCAACCAAGCTGCCACAGCTGCCGAAGCAGTCCGGGCAGCCGAAGCAGCTCGGGCAGCGGAAGCATCTCGAGCAGCACAAAGTGCAGCTGCTGCCAGCAGTGCCGGCATCACCACCACAGGGCAAAGCACACCCACGACCACACCTGCTACAGGGTTGTCAACATGTATAGGAGCCGCAGCGCCAGCAGCAGCACCAGCAGCAGCACCAGCAGCAGCACCAGCAGCAGCGCCAGCTGCAGTGCCAGCCGCAACAGCAGCGGCGGGCATGGGCATGCAGGTGGTGGTGTGTCTGCTGGATGCGCTCTTCAGCGACCCTGACCTCGAGTTTGGTGCCTTTGCTGTTCTCTTTGACCCCCGTGGCTGCCAGCCTGACCGCGCTGCTGTGCTGCGCATCACACTTAGAAAAGATGCCTTCTTGCCGAGGCTACCCGCTGCTCCTGCTGCTTCTGCTGTTCCTTCTCCTGCTGGTATTGCCCCTGCTGCTGGTGCTGGTGCTGCTGATACCGCTGCATCTCCAGCAGCAGTGAGTGAAGATGCAGAAGCAGCAGCAGCAGCACCAGCAGCAGCACCAGCAGCAGCAGCAGCAGCAGTAGCAGCAGCAGCGGAGAGGCGGAGGGCAGAGGCTGCGAGGGAATGGGGCGCTGTGGTGAAGAATGAGAGCCAAACAACGCATGCATCAACGCAGCAGCATCAGCAGCAGCATAAGCAACTGGTAACATCACAGAACCAGACAAAGGAACCAGAAAAGAAGCCACCTAGCACTGCTCCTCCTCCCTCAACCCTTGCTGCTGCAGCCAACACCACATGGCCCCTCCCCCAGTTGACCCTGCACACAGTTGTCACCCGCCACCAGGCCTTACTATTGCGGGAGGTTCGGGGCAGCGATGCGGCTCGGCTGGCGATCCTGACGAGCAGGTTCGGAGTGAAGCTGGTGGGGAGGCGCGGGCTGGGGCAGAGGGGGGAGGAGGTGCTGGAGGCAGTGAGCGAGGCGAGGGCTGCTAGCAGGAGGAAGCTTGGTGTGATTTGACAAGGTGCTTTGGTATAGGCTCATACGGTAGTTGAAATGGGCTGGGGTGGTGCAGATGGGGGAGGTGCTGGAAGCTGTGAGGGAGGCGAGACCTGCTAGCAGGGAGGAAGCTTGGTGTGATTTGACTTCGTTCGAGAAGGAGGTTGGCTTGTGGTACGGGCTCATGCGGGAGGAATGGTCTGGTTGGGAATCGGGATGGGTCAGAGTTGGGGGAGGAGGTGCTGGATGGATTGTGTATACCATTGTTAATATCTTAATATTTGAATGTGCAATGAGAGGTTGAATTGATTGATGACTAGTGGAAGGGTTGGTTAAAGGTTTTTTTCTTTTGTTTTTTTTTTTTTTTTTCAATGCAGATATGACCTGGGAGCCAGCCAATCTGGGGGTTTTCTCATAGGCTGATGCTTGTAGTTTGGGAATGTGCAGTGGATGGGTGCGTATCTGAAATAGACCAAAACTTGAATTGTAGCGATGCGTTTCGCCTTATCTCATTCCCTTCTGCCGCGTATTAGGGTCTCGGGATTTGTTTTGGGCTAGACAGCGTTGTAGGTTCGATGGATTGCCCATGGAACGCGTTGGTGGTGGTCTGTGCGACCATGCGATTAATCGCAAGAGCAACGAAAGTGTGCGAGCAGCGAAATCTGTTCGAGCAGGGCCAAAAACTTGGAGAGTTTTTCTCAATTCCGTGAAATCGCGGCTCGTTTTATTATTGCCACGTGGCATGCCTTCGATCGCGTGAACCGCTATCTGTTTTATTGTTATCACAAACTTCAACAGAAAATTAGTTAAGTTTTGTACTGCGCTGCCCGCGGGCAAAAATAAAACCCATTTGGGCCTGGCATGCGTTAGGGAGGCATCAACCCTAAACACCTTGCCTATAGGTGTTTCGGGTTGATGCATCCCTAACGCATGCCTTACCTTTAGGGGTTTTATTTTTGCGCGCGGGCAGCGCAGTACAGAACTTAACTAAATTTCTCTTGAAATATGTGATAACAATAAAACAGATCGCGGTTCACGCGATCATAGGCTCGCCACGTGGCAAAAATAAATTAAACCGCGCTTCCGCGAAATTGAGCAAAATTCTCAATAACTTGCAATAATTCAGGTGCGCGTGCTGTGATTGGCTCTGCTACTACTGACTTCACACCCAGATCAGTCGCCGCATTCATCGCCAAGTGACGCATCAATAAGTGACGCAGGCGCTCTTCAGCGGCGCCCCTGGGAGCGTCCGAGTTTCGTCTCTTAACCACCCGCCCGCTAGAGCAGCCATGGAATCATCTCTTCCGCCTCTGTTTCTGTGCCATATCCTGCTGCATTTTACGCCGGTACTAGTAGCGCCAGCAGCTGTACCACGAATCGCTTTATCTACCACTACCAGTAGCCTCGTGTTGTACCAAGAAGCTCATCAGTTCAAAACCACCTCGGCGTTGAGCTATTCAGTGCACATCCGCCACGCGTGGGACCTCAGAGCCGGTCGATTGGCCGACGGAGTCTCGAGTCACTCGGTTGTGCGTGCTGTCTCTCGGTTGTGCGTGCTCAAGTCACCCAGCTGACGTGGCAGCTCAACAGTAATGGCCACCTTTCCTTCCGCGCTGCTTCCGCTCCTCGTCCTCACCGTCGTCATTGGAGGTGAGTCGTTTTTGTCCTCTGTTTCTCTCCGGGTTTTCTCGGTTGAGAAGCGTGCGCACTTGTTTCCCTTTCACCCCTCTGCTATCTCTCTCAACCCTCTGCTCCCTCTCAGGACGCGTCCTGTCCCACGATCAATCGTGCAATATCGACCCTCCACCGTACTGAAACCCCGCTTGATACATTCTCAAACCCCGCCAAAATTCGATCCTGTGCAGGATCGAGGGGACGCGTCCTCACCCCTCTGCTCCCTCTCAACCCTCTGCTCTCTCTCTCAACCCTCTGCTCTCTCTCTCTCTCTCTCTCTCTCTCTCTCTCTCTCTCTCTCTCTATCTCTCTCTCTCTCTCTCTCTCTCTCTCTCTCTCTCGCTCTCTCTCTCTCTCTCTCTCTCTCTCTCTCTCTCTCTCTCTCTCTCTCTCTCTCTGCCTCTCGCTCTCTCTCCTCTCTCTCTCTCTCTCTCTCTCTCTCTCTCTCTCTCTCTCTCTCTCTCTCTCTCGCTCTCTCTCTCTCTCTCTCTCTCTCTCTCTCTCTCTCTCTCTCTCTCTCTCTCTCTCTCTCTATCTCTCTCTCTCTGCCTCTCGCACCAGCAGCAGCGCCAGCTGCAGTGCCAGCCGCAACAGCAGCGGCGGGCATGGGCATGCAGGTGGTGGTTGTGTCTGCTGGATGCGCTCTTCAGCGACCCTGACCTCGAGTTTGGTGCCTTTGCTGTTCTCTTTGACCCCCGTGGCTGCCAGCCTGACCGCGCTGCTGTGCTGCACATCACACTTAGAAAAGATGCCTTCTTGCCGAGGCTACCCGCTGCTCCTGCTGCTTCTGCTGTTCCTTCTCCTGCTGGTATTGCCCCTGCTGCTGGTGCTGGTGCTGCTGATACCGCTGCATCTCCAGCAGCAGTGAGTGAAGATGCAGAAGCAGCAGCAGCAGCACCAGCAGCAGCACCAGCAGCAGCAGCAGCAGCAGTAGCAGCAGCAGCGGAGAGGCGGAGGGCAGAGGCTGCGAGGAAATGGGGCGCTGTGGTGAAGAATGAGAGCCAAACAACGCATGCATCAACGCAGCAGCATCAGCAGCAGCATAAGCAACTGGTAACATCACAGAACCAGACAAAGGAACCAGAAAAGAAGCCACCTAGCACTGCTCCTCCTCCCTCAACCCTTGCTGCTGCAGCCAACACCACATGGCCCCTCCCCAGTTGACCCTGCACACAGTTGTCACCCGCCACCAGGCCTTACTATTGCGGGAGGTTCGGGGCAGCGATGCGGCTCGGCTGGCGATCCTGACGAGCAGATTCGGAGTGAAGCTGGTGGGGAGGCGCGGGCTGGGGCAGAGGGGGGAGGAGGTGCTGGAGGCAGTGAGCGAGGCGAGGGCTGCTAGCAGGAGGAAGCTTGGTGTGATTTGACAAGGTGCTTTGGTATAGGCTCATACGGTAGTTGAAATGGGCTGGGGTGGTGCAGATGGGGGAGGTGCTGGAAGCTGTGAGGGAGGCGAGACCTGCTAGCAGGGAGGAAGCTTGGTGTGATTTGACTTCGTTCGAGAAGGAGGTTGGCTTGTGGTACGGGCTCATGCGGGAGGAATGGTCTGGTTGGGAATCGGGATGGGTCAGAGTTGGGGGAGGAGGTGCTGGATGGATTGTGTATACCATTGTTAATATCTTAATATTTGAATGTGCAATGAGAGGTTGAATTGATTGATGACTAGTGGAAGGGTTGGTTAAAGGTTTTTTCTTTTTTTTTTTTTTTTTTTTCAATGCAGATATGACCTGGGAGCCAGCCAATCTGGGGGTTTTCTCATAGGCTGATGCTTGTAGTTTGGGAATGTGCAGTGGATGGGTGCGTATCTGAAATAGACCAAAACTTGAATTGTAGCGATGCGTTTCGCCTTATCTCATTCCCTTCTGCCGCGTATTAGGGTATCGGGATTTGTTTTGGCTAGACAGCGTTGTAGGTTCGATGGATTGCCCATGGAACGCGTTGGTGGTGGTCTGTGCGACCATGCGATTAATCGCAAGAGCAACGAAAGTGTGCGAGCAGCGAAATCTGTTCGAGCAGGGCCAAAAACTTGGAGAGTTTTTCTCAATTCCGTGAAATCGCGGCTCGTTTTATTATTGCCACGTGGCATGCCTTCGATCGCGTGAACCGCTATCTGTTTTATTGTTATCACAAACTTCAACAGAAAATTAGTTAAGTTTTGTACTGCGCTGCCCGCGGGCAAAAATAAAACCCATTTGGGCCTGGCATGCGTTAGGGAGGCATCAACCCTAAACACCTTGCCTATAGGTGTTTCGGGTTGATGCATCCCTAACGCATGCCTTACCTTTAGGGTTTTATTTTTGCGCGCGGGCAGCGCAGTACAGAACTTAACTAATTTCTCTTGAAATATGTGATAACAATAAAACAGATCGCGGTTCACGCGATCATAGGCTCGCCACGTGGCAAAAATAAATTAAACCGCGCTTCCGCGAAATTGAGCCAAAATTCTCAATAACTTGCAATAATTCAGGTGCGCGTGCTGTGATTGGCTCT